AAAAAAAAAAAAAAAAAGAAACAGCGAGACGCGCACGTGTGCGTGGGTGGATGGTCGCGTTATAGATGACAGTGTCAGCGACAGAGGGTCGACACGGCAGACAGGACAACGCGGTGTCAGTGTCCGGGGGTGCAGAGTGCAGGAGACAACGAATAATTCATCCCTTTCTGCCGTCCCTCTGCAGAAACGCGTCGCACATGTCGCCGGTGCACGCCGAATATCACGATTCTGTTGCATCCGCCTTGCGAAACACACGATCTTTCTCAACTCCCATGGTCGTTCATTCGTTCAAAGAACTTATATTCTGCAGTTGAGTCACGTGTACGAAACAAACGCTTCCCGGACGCTCGATCGTTTCGTAAATTCAGTTTGTTTTATGGAACTTGGAAGTTAGTTTAAATATAGTAGCTTTCGGTGATTCAGCAGAGATGGTTGAAGTTACTGTTGTTGAACAGTTAATATTAGACTAGCTTCGGACGACATTACTATACTAGTTGAATCATTTTCACCATTTATGAAATTACTTTTAGTGTATGTTACAATTGTTAAAATTTATTGCAGAATTTATTGCAAGTGACAAAATACTTCGAATACTTTCGCGAGTAAGCCGACGGTCTGCAAGATGGGCGATTATGTAGCAATCGATGGAAACAAATTGTCAAGACACTCGACGGTGTTTTAGGATGGGCTGATTAATTTCTGACGGCCGCGACGGTCACGACTGATCGTCGCTCAAAAGTGCGAGCAAATAGGCGGAAGATAGGCGATAACGTCCGCGCCAATAACGACGGTCAGCTATGATTATTAATCATGTGCAGGTTGCGCGTGCAAGTGTCAGCGGTGCTAGGGGTGACCTGACTAATCGTTCCGCCATTGCGGAATAATATACCCACGGTGGTCGATGCTCGTTTTGCTCCTCGTGTTTCTACTGTTCAGACCCTACACTGGACTTGCTTGCTGGACCTTCTCTTTGTTTTTGCATTGCGTATTACATTCTGGAATAGTGGATCCAAACCGGACGTGATTTTACAGAGATTTCTTCTTGGTATAATCTGTACGATGAGTACGGAGTAGTTCTCTCGTTAAAAAAAAAAAAAAAAAAAAAGAAAATGTTTGAAGGAGTTCGTAGTATTTCAAAAAACGGGAAATTTAAAAATGTGAAATGACGCGATCGTTGAAAAATATTTTTCGCACCGTCAACTGAAACGTTATATATTGTATTACCAATTTTGTCAACTGAAATATTCTATATTATATTATTTAATATTATTAATATTGTTATTAAACATATATTAAACGTACGTTATCTATTATTGAGTATCTAGTGTTATACATTTTATTATATTAAATGTGTATTAATGTGTAAAATTATAAGTATACCATATGTATTATATAACATACGTACATGTACATTATATTACAGTATACGTACATGTACATTAACATGTATAATAATAGTTCTACATCCCAAGTGACCATTGGCAACCACACAATCACACACTTTTGGAATTTACAATTTAATTGAATATCATTATCTTCTCCATTCCGCTTTATTATTTCAATCGCAGAGAAATGAATTTTTGCGGTTATGTGCATACATAAGCTACTAGTAGTTATCAATGACGCACAACTGATTATAACCAAGAGTCAACGGGTGAGAAGATTGGAGCCTCGCGTGAAAATTTACTCGCGATTATCAAAACGAGATTAAATTCAATAACTGCGATAGATTATCCTGGGAGTTTCAGGTGGGCTAGGGCTGTTTCCGATTGCGCGAAAACAGGACGGGCAGATCTTCCGGCTAGGATATTTTGCGGCCGAGTACAAAATCCTCCAGTAAACCAACGGAATCCTACCAGCTGCTGGCTTTACCTCTAGGCACGGTCTCGCGCTAATGCAGCAATAAACATGCATCTATCCGAAGCACGAGCGAAGTCGCGGATCCGCCAGACGGGAACAACACTGGAGAAGAGTAATATGCATCCGCGGAAAAATAGCGGGAGGCGCGCTACGTAGTTTGGTAAAGTTTCCAAGTTTGAAACGAGGCACCACGGTCGGAGGCGAGCGATTGAAGAAAATGAAACGAGACAGAGTCCCAGATATTTTTTCGTTAATCGCTGAACGGAAAGTTGCAGTTTCTTTCCTCGGGACGTGTGAATGTAACTTTTCAGCTTTTGAATATCAATTTTTCCTACGACAAACTGATGGAGTTATTTCAAAGCTAATTTCAAGGTAAACGAGATACGAAAGGGAGATGCACTGAAGTGAAATTTTCGCGGATGCAATTGCAATTTCTTTTTCCTTTTTTTTTTTTTTTGAAATTATAAAAACATCAAGGTCTCATCTTCTAAAAGGTATACCACTGACTGTTATCTTTGCAAAAATTGAAATACCATCTAAAAAGAGCAGTGTAAAATTTGCCTAACCTAATTTAAAAATATTTCCTTCGTTTAACAATTCTCGAAAGCATTCTCTGAGAATTTTAAATTATTCAAATAGCTTCCACGAGCTGTCAATGTTCAAAATGATCGGATATTGGTGAGAAAAATCAATGGAGCGTATATCACGCTGGTAGGTAAAGTTTCGCGAGTTTCTGTTTAATCTTAAACGAAACCACAAACCTCAAGCGTGTCAATGTTCTTGCCCTATTGAACATGAAAGTCGCCGTTACGCGAAATGGAATTTTTCTACGACGCAGCGAGAGAGAAAGAAGATTCAAGTACGTGTGCAAGGAGTGCACGCGCGAAAGCTACAAAATAGTTTACAATGGGTCAGAGCAACGTTTGCGCGGCCATAAAAAGAGCTTAGTGTCGGGAGGAATGGTTGTTGCCTAGTCTTTGAGCTACACCGTCCACCAGTATACTACCAGGACAGATAGGGTGAAAAGAAAATTGTAACAGAGTACATAATACACCCGCTGCCACAACGGAATAACCACAGTTGCTCCAAAATTACTCTATCGGCCAAAAGTTTAAGCACTCGCAAATTACTAACATCGCTCGAGATGTATACGTAGACCGTGATTTCCGTGGCTAGAATATTTTAGTATTACACATTATCCGCGAAATCTCGTAACAATGTATTTAGATTAATTTTAGATAATCGACAAGTGGCAAGGAACACATCTTGTTCGTTTATTTTTTTAGCGTATCTATATTAATATGAACTAAGATCAGACCATAATCACGGTGATTGTACGA